TATGGATATTTGGTACTACATATGGCCGCTGTATCTTGCCTTTTCACATTTGCCTTTCTTTCTTTTTGCTTTTTGAAGAGAGTATTCCTCAGAGGGTATAGCAGTTCTAGTTTTTTTACTTATTTAATTTTCCAAACTTTGATACAGATATATGATATTTATAGTTCTCGCATTAAAAATGAGTGGCTGTAAATTTACTGTAGGACATGCAAACAGTTGATTGTTCACCAGAGTCTAAAGGTTGTTCCTTTCTTCCCTTTGTTGCCATTGGAGACAATTTCTATTTTCTTTTAATTCAGGAAACTTGACTCTAGATAGATAGAATGTGTATAGTCAATGCCCTGAGAAATAATATACATGTACATGTATATGTTCACTGCACAGATAAAATGTTACGTCAGGATTTAGTATTTCTTAGTGTGAAATCAAAGTGCTGAATTATTTTTTATACAGTAGCTGAAAAATTTACCAAAGATAGTCATGCATAGTTTTTTCAATCACAACTAGTCACTTAGCAGCGAGTGAATTAATGAGATTCATCTGCCACTCTTGTATTGTCTCTTAAGAACTGTTGTCCTGTTTTGAAGCAACAAAGGCATAGACAGATGCTCCAACCGTTCACTATGCTTTTGATTTATTATGCATACATGTATGTTATGCCAAGCCGAACGGGGTAGATAGCCAGCCAGGGATATTTCCACTTTTGACGGGCCGCTGCGTCACTCCTACTCTTTTGGCATATTGTGATACATAGTTCTGGCTGTATTTTTGTTTGGCAGTAAAATGAGCTCCATCTTTATCCATACCTCCCTACTTGTGCTGTCTTTTTCACCCTCACATACCATGAAATGGGCGTGGTCTGTCAAGCATTGTGTTTGCCTGGCATAGGGCAGGGCACAATGCTTTACTTTAAGGCTGCACATTTGGAGTTTGCAACGATACATTATTGCATTGGTAGAAGTACAGATCAGAACATGAATAGGATACCTGTACTGCCCTCCTTTTTTGCTCAACCAATTAAATTGTTCCCACAGAACACTTCAATCAGTGTTTTTTTTTTAAGCTCCATATTCTTTACCCCTTAAAAGCACGCCATGCCATGAAAACAGTCCTTTGCAGGCTGCTAGAAGAGACTTTGTAATTGGTCAGAATGTGAAACGTGCATGATGTAATGGTCTGCTCAAATATGGTAATACTCTTGACTGATAGACATATACTTTGACAAACAACTTCTTCATCTTATCAGGAACCATGGATTATAATGAACCTCAATGGTAGCTCCTCAGGACAATCGGCCAGGAAACAGGCAATATTTCTTGCCTTGGAGATCATGTAGTTGAACAACTTAACTGGGTTTTAAGCTTGTAACTTTATTTCAATATTTGGCATTCTTTTTCCTTACTTCGTAAAGGCAGTTTTGGGGGTGATGGGTTAGTCGTTATTTATGCAGTTTATATCCTGTGCGGTCACCGGATCACAACCAAATGTTTAAATGGCTCATGCAATGCAATTTTTTAATGCAACCCTTAGAATGCACCTTTATATCTCCATTAAGCTTGTATGAATTTTTTTCATTTCTTTTTTTATAGGGTATCTGGGTGCCTTTTGTTTTATTTATTTAGTTTTTTTGGGGCTAATGAGTATCTCTATATTCATGGGAAAAAAAGTTGCTACCCCAGGAAGAAGACCTTAATGTTTTGTTCACCAAAGTATGCTAGAATTGTTCATACTATGCTGACTTGCATTTACTGCATTTTGGTATATCATTACTAATGCTATGTAACTGCATAGTAATAAACCAGTGAGCAATGCTATGCTTTCTCAAAAATGTTTCCAATAAGCCAAGTGGCAACAAGTGCCCCCTGTTGTCCGGCAAGTTTGGACAATTTTAAATGTTTGAAAGAGGATACTTTTCAATATTTTCAGTTCAAAAGGATAGTATAGTGCTTTTCGTACATAGATGCAGAGTGTAAAGATGCACGGAAAGGGTGTCTAAAATGCATTGCTTGGGCCTTTATGGTTGTAGTCGTAGTCACTCGGACTACGTCTGCTGCAAAGCTAAATTATGAAGGGAAACAGGGAATTTTGTAAATCATTATATTGGATGGGCCACTATATTAAGCCATGCGTATAGCTTAGTTTTGCAATCGGATTGTTACCCCACGAAGGATACGGATCAGTATTTGGCATTAAATTATGGTTTCCTTTTATTTTGAACACTTGTTTCTTTTGTTCAATCATTTACGTATTCATTTCACAATTGGGGCCTTCTTCGCATGTTCTTGTTTTGTTTTGAGTTGTTTTGTTTTGGTCATTCTGTATTCACATCCGTTTGATGCATTTCACGCAATACAAATTGCTGTGAATACGTTGGAACTTACTGCGCATACGGACTCGAGGGGCAGTGGAGGCGCGCAAATTGGAAAGGTGCCTCAACCCTAACCTCCTATAGGGTGTATGTAAAATCAAACTGAAATTAAAGGATTTGGGACTGTTGGAGGGGGTACCCCCCAACAAGTCCAATCCCTGTACGCACTCTAGCCCATTGTTACTTATCACATCCCCCAGATGTCCGGAAAAGAATTCCTTAGATTCCAGTGTAACAATAACCAACACAAAGGCGGGAGGGGGGGGTTCTCTCTGTCCCATAGTTTATTATGTTGGGTTTTATAGTCCTTTTTCCTGTGATGTCACAATCGTGCTGGACCGCGATGTGTTGTGATGGTAACCTACTCACAGACAAACTTGTCGAGCATGCAGCGTTCGCAGGTGCGCTTGTACATGCTGCCCGTACGATTATGTGCAATCACCATGGCCACGGTGGTGCACATGTGGTGGTATTGTTTACATTTAGCGCAATCCAGTCACGCGGGTGAAAAAGGCTATAGGCGGCTGGGGTTTTATTTTACCAGAGGATCATTGATGTGCTCTGGTACAGTGCAAATAATTAGCCCAACGACTTTAACAGCGAAGTCCGTGTTCAGGCCCTCAGGCACATGAGGTAGCAGATTTTTGACCCACTTTTGGAGGTTACCACACTGAATGAAATAAAAAAAAGTGATACGTATTGTTGCGTAATCCAGACCTTGTACTTGTGATCCTGCCTCATTTCACAAAACAATCCGCACATCTAACTGCATGCTCTGGCGCATGGCCGTTGACACCGAAGACTGGTTCCCGTCCTGTTCCACTTGGGGGGTGGCATGACCGCCACATGCATGTTCACGAGGAATTATTGTGACACAAGCAGATGCTCAGATTGGTCAGCTACAGTCTTTATAAGTTAGAATGAAATATTTTCAACCCCCAAAATCATGTAGAGGAGTAAACTGTAACAAAAATTAAAAAAAAATAAAATAGAGCAGTCTTGTTTCAGACTCCAGAGCCAGGGATAGATTTGGAGTACACAATCACTCCGTTCACACAAAGATGAAAAGTGAGTCACAAATTTAAAGACTATTTTGTCTGCCGTGTCGCTCTGTCGCCCTTTTTACACAGAAAGTTTTGGATCATAATCCTTGTGCCACCCAGTATTGCGAGTTTCAAATCTTCTCTGATACGGTGCTTTTCTTCTCTCAGGGTTTTAAAGACTGATTTGTTTAATTGCTCGGGGTGGTCAAAAAGTAGTAGGCCTTTTAGCTTATGTTAATGCAGATTTTCATATTGCTCATGAGCAAGACGTTTTTTGTCTGAAGGGAAAACAATGTCACAACTTTTCTGCTCTAACATTTGCCAGAGTGTAAAGAGCTCCATATAAAGACGCTGCTTCATAACGGTTTGAAAATTTCTGAGTGTTACGTAAATGTTTCAATAGTTTCCATGTTACTTTTATAGGTCCTGTACATGTAGGTACATGTAAATGTTAAAAGGAAAATTAGTGATGTCCCTTTGTGGAATTCCTTCTGCTATAGCGCCAGAGTTTTGGATATTTTGCTTTTGTATAATTTGCTCACTGTTGTGATTGGTGACATCAGTGTTCAAGTTTTCTCATAAGATTCTTACTGATAAAATTGTGAGTTTCACTGAGACAGAAAACCCCCAAATCAAATATAAATTGAACAATGTGTTTCTGAAATGACAGAGCATGGCATCATATTCCAACAGTGTGCGAACCTGACCCTAAAAATATTTTTGGTCATCTAACGGTGCACTGTTTGGATAACTAAAAGTGTTGAGGGGGTCCGCCTCCCCTTCCCCACGTGGGCTCTTTTAGGTTTTGAAGAGTTTTAATACAAATCACCAAAACGCACCTTTGTGTCTCAGTTAACCTTATATTGAATTTTTGTTTCCCTTTTTTCAAAAGGTGTTTTACTACTCTTGGTTTTCATGCTAATAAGTATTTCCATATTCATGAGCAAAACTGTGGTGTCATCCTAGGAAAAG